GCCATGTACTTTTCCGTATCTCAAAGTGCAATAATAAAAACATGCAAAGCACGTGACGACCAGCTTTGATAGCACAAACCTTGACGAATTACGGTGGAAAGAGTGGGCCAAACTGAGCGAGCTAGATAGCAGAAAAGTAAGGAAGCATAAAATCCGATAAACTCGTGAAGCCTGCGTGATGAGAGGCAGATGATTAGGGCAATGGTGCACGTGCAGACAGTTGCTAAAACCTGCACACTGTTCAGTTTTCTTGCACTATGACCGATCAAAAAGCTTTTATTTTTCTGCGTTAAATCTAAAAGATGTGGAGCCGCAAGCCATCATATGACATCCCGGTCATAACTTCAAAAGAGACAAACCATGGAAGCGGATTAGCTCCTTATGGTTAATTTGCCTGTGATCCACGTCCCAGTAACGAACCATCACATAAAGGTATTATTAGCCGCAAATGGACGCACAGAATGGCATCGTGCAGCAGCTCCACCAAGAAAGTGTTCTGACGAATAAGACCAGTCTTACGTCAGTGTTTTCGTCCAACCTTTACTCAGTATGTGGTTACATCAGTGAAAACTATGACCTTAAGTTGTCTTTGTTGGTGTATGTGCCACGTGCAACGCAGGTTGAGGGAACCAGCTTATGTAAGTTCCTGAACTTCTTACTGACATACCCGAGTGGCCTGATCCCTGAACGGTTGCAGACGAGAGTCAGGTCAGTACCCGGAATTCAGCTTGGTAGAACCGCGGTTCTTGGAGGAGATATAAATGGTCTATAAAAAGACAACGCTTTGCCACACTTGTCATTTTTCAATTTTCATTACTCACTGGTGCTGACTTTTCCAGGGTTGTGTTCTGCATAGAACCGATGAAGGGCAAAGATACCTGTCGTGAAAGGAAAGCAATTGCGATTCTACGCTCGCAACTGCTGTCCAGTTTGTTTGCGTGATGAAATTATTTAACCCCTTAAGTAGTGTATTAATTATACACTCAAAAGGTTCTCTTTGCTTGGCCGGGGACAGGTATGCGCAAATATCCACTTGGTTGTCACGTATAATAATTTTTGGCAGTTTTTATTGCAAGCACTCCCGGAATCCATAAATATGCTGGTTTCCAACAGAGTGTTTTTCAACGAAATGCGCGTTCAACGTAAGAATAATTTGTGTGAGCATTTTGCGCACAACAGTCACGCAAATGTGACTGATAGTGGAACATGAGCAGGCTAATAAGTTCTCTGTCACCAGAGGGAGATAGAGGACTGCTGTAAGCGTTCTCGGGTAGCTCAAACACACCGCAAAATCCCGGTGACGCCATATCAGACTGTGGAGATGAGTGTCAAAAATGGAAAAACCAAGTTCGACGATTCTATACAGAAGAGGAAGTCTGTAGGGCAGGTTTGGCAGTTGGTGTCCAAACTTTCACACCCTTATCAAACGTTTCTTCACCACTAGAGTTGACGGTATTAGTGTGTTGTTGTGAATTGGAGCTGGGCTGCGCGTTGGCGGTTATGCGATGAGTAGTGATATGCGTTATTTTATGTATGTGCTTCTGACAATACCGAACTTCGACTATTATTGGCTGCCTTGACAAGGCATTCGGACGACAAGGCTGATTTAATCAAAAACATGTACGAACTGCTAAACAACACATTCCAGGTTGTCGGATTAACAATGTGATTAGAGAAAAACGGCAAACATTCACTCTTAGACGTACCTGTTCAAAAGCCTACCGTTGGACCGTTGGAAGAGAACGCATACAAATAAGGCATCAAATTAATGTGGTAGCAGCCCAACGATGCATAAAGGTATTGCACTAAAAGTTTGCCCAAATAAACACAAAAACGCAATAAAGCGCCAAAGAAATCAAATAAAAGGAGGAAGCTATTTGTATTCAGGATTACAAAACGACGGACACTCATGGAAGTTTTTTCGGAAGAAGCGTGTAGAAAAGAATACTTCTTCAACTAAAACGGTAGACAGACAATTAAGCTGGTAGTACTACTCTTCATCCAGAAAGTGCCTGAGGTGATCGCCAGAATAGTGGAACCACGTGGAATTTTATTGGTCCACCATCCAATCAAAGCCCTGAGAAGCCTGATTTAAAACTAGAAGAAGAATTCATATAAAATAATTATAACAATATTAGCCACCAGACAATGCGTAGCAGGGTAACAGACACCATGTTGGATAGACCGAAACGACCAGTGACTAAAGGCGGTCATAAGATTACACAACTCGGCTTATTTGGTTTTTGTACATAAAAATCAGTAAGGTCATTATTTCACTATGAATGACGTGAGGATTCTGCAGCCAGGAATTTCAGGAAGCGTGGTACTCCACAACGAATTCAATTGCTCGATAATTTGAACGGGATCCAACCTATGCACGTTTACAAACAAGGGATCACGCATTGAATAAACTAGCGCAGCCGACCGAGTATTAGAAAGAATCTGGGGACAGGATCGACAGAGGTACCAGTCCGGCAACAGTCTCAATGTGTGAACTCAGTAGTCTAGTTCAAAGGGGCCCTGGATATTGACGAGTTTGAACAAGTTGAGAACTCCAGCTGAGTGGATTACTGCTAAAGCAATTAATAGCAATCGAAAGTCACTTCCTTCGGGGTATGTAAATAAACTATGGCACGCCATTAGTCATCACAAAACCACCAAGACAGCCCCGCCACGTTTCACAGCAGGGCAATGGTGATTTCACCTCGATTAGTGAGATAACGCTTGCAACAAAACTACTGCATGCAAAAAACAGCCTGATCAACAATCACAGTTACATTAAGACGTTTGGAATAGTTCACTTGTGGGAGAATAAAGAAAGAGCCTTGATTCAATAGTACTTGCTGTCTTTCAACTCAGCGGACAATTGCAAAGTGCACGTGTCACCAAAATTCCACGACGGAAGTATTCTGCCCGTTCAAACTGGTCTGCACGTAGGCCACGTTCACATGTTGGCAGCAGGCTAACACATTGTTTGCAAAGTACTCTCTGTTTGTAGCATGCGAACTTCATTTTTTAGAACTTTGGAAACCTATAAATGGCTAAGGCAGTATCTTTGTTGGGTTGTTTTGAGGGCGGCGGTGGATAACAATACTGGTATGCACTCATATTCTTTGATAATATTGACAAAAAGATCTAAAAAAGCCTAAACTATTTGGTAAAATTTCCATAGTCCAAAGATTACCAAATTATTTACGGTGGGCGTGAGACATGCATAAGGTTTAATTAGATGTGTCTGAAAACCTAGCGGATAATTTGAATGGGGATTCAGTTAAACCGGAAGATAGCTGATACTAAGACTGACGACTGTGCCATACAACTGTTAACCATTTCAATACGTCCGCCTGGTATCATATTGTACAATCAAAAGTACACGTAAATACGTGCAGGTCACGACAAACACAAAAATATCCAAAACCAGGATAAGGAGTGAGGAACAAAACCCTTCACCCCAAAACTGTCAGCCCGTCCATCCCAGGGCAATAACATTACACTCATCGGTATACAAAAGCTTGGGTGTGCGGCCACCACCGTCGGATAACGATGTCAAAATGGGCGGTTTAAGCTGGGACACACAAAACTGCTATAGGACGTACATATATCACGGTAGGACGAAACAGTCAGCGGGTAGTTTGCAATCAACAGTCTTTAAAGGTTAGTCGAGTGAACAAAACTGCCATATGTTAGGTTTTAAAAAGAAAGTAAGGAATCAATGATGGGGTTCACGCAACGGTTCAAAAACGGGAGAAAATATTCCACGGCACAATGTCTCCTCGGGATGGAAAAGCTATTTCATAGAATGCACAATCAAGCTGCAATAATTCTTGTCTCAAGCTATGCAAAAAACAGCGATTCACTGCCCCAGCAAGCAATATTCATCTTGGAACATGCGTTAACTAACTCACCACTTTTCATTACCAATCCAACATTAACCCGCTCTATACTTTTGCTAGTAATCCAACTAAGCTACCTAAGGACCAACGTGACTTGTCCCATATTTTCATGTCTTTAAATCAGCTTTGAACTGTAGCGTACGAACACATTATTTCACAAGGGAAGAAAAAAGATGACAATACATTTAAGTGTTTTACAGCTGACAAACGGTTATTAGATGACCTCAAGATTTGTAACGCTTTCCCAAGAAAAAAAACAGTCCAAATGAATTGCAGTTATACGACTAATGATAATACTCTGTCCTTCCCGAATGAGGGAGCACAAATGCCATTGGAAGATAAGTTAGAGTTTAAATAAGCTCTTGTAAACTGACTTGCTTATGACCCTGCCAATAATTATGGGGTCTGAATCAGTTTGACTATTTCTTGACAGATTATGTTGATGATCATAATATGTTCACACCAGCTGATGCAGGAATTGATCATGGGATTTAGGAGGTGAATTCATGCACGCAAATACCTCATGTAACCGGTACAGAGCAACAGATTATTGCAATGGAGTAGGAATTATCAATGTATCTCGCACGGAGAAAGTGGGACAAAGCAAAGGTTCAATCAGTCCGACAAGTAACCTTAGCCTCATGTAGTACTTCAGAGGACTGCTCCCAAGGAAACGAAAAATCATAGTGGTCAGCATGTATTTAGGAGTACCAAGGGACAGCGAGTTAACAACAGTTCAAAGTTTGGGGTTGTTTTGAAAGTAGAATCGAATTTGAATGGATTAATGTGGAACAATGTCGAGTCCCAAACACAACTCTAGAGGGAAACCTGAACTAGGTTTTTCGCCACTTCTGGCATGATTCATAAACCAGGCGATCACTGAAACTTTGTTGCGTCTTGATGTATGCTTCGGTGACTGTAAGGTTAGGCGACTGACATTCTCGAAATGCCCAAATGGTAAAACAAAGTAAACTACTTGCGGGGCTGCTTGACAAAGTGGACTGTCACAAGTCAAGAGCGAAAAATTCAGCCTCCAAACCTGAAAAAAATACTACTACCGTATCTATGTATCTGTTATGACTGTCTAAGTATGTCATTGTGACTTACTTCACAGTGAGGAAGTTAGATAGTGAAGCAATCCTGCCGAAAACTATAAGAAAAAATTCAAAAGAATGACTCAGTATTACCCGAAATCAATTGAGATAAAATTTCAAGTCTTCAGGGAACGAACAACGCTCCTATAGAGCTTTTGTATATTGATTCATGTTTGAGACCCACAATCAAAAATATCAAGCAAAGCATTAGCAGCATCCTCAGAAAGAAGAATCTGGTGCTGTTACGTTGCTGACGTTCTTGGAAAAGAATGGAAGTTAAACGATATTTTGAGGGCATCAGTATGGGTCAGGAGTGATAAGCCTCTGAACACTTGGATTTACATTTTGTTTGAGTTTGGTGAAATAATGTTGAATAAACCCTAGGAGACTCCTTCTTGACCACTTTCTGCAATCAGCTTCAGCAATACACCTAAATATACTCTCCGGGCTGATCTTTCCTCTTCATAAGTAGGGAAGGCTGGAGGAGTATCCAACATGGGGAGAAAGTCCTTGTAGGGAAGTTGCTTGATCTTCAGAAAACAATAGGATTTGCACTTCTTCCAGGAAAATTGTGTTATGCAGTTCTAAGCTACAAACTCCTTAGGTAGGAACTCGGCAGGTTTTGACTTTGGAACAAAATCCAGTAGTTTCTTAGCAAAGAGACGAACTATGCAACTGTGCTCAGCAAGGATGCAATCGAATTTCGCGATATTTTCAAGTGCATTGACCAGTGAAATCCAACGAGGGGACGCCGCGTTGACTTCCGCGTCAGCCAAAGGCAATATCCTATCACTCATCTTGATCTGTAGAAAATGCGGTGGCGTCTGTTTTGTCGCATAAAAATATAGCATTATTATAGAGGTTCTGTTTCACCCCCAAACACAGAGCATGGTCGCTGCAGGATTACAGTTGATAAATAAAAGTCCGCCAGTGCATACAATTCCAAGTCCCATTTATATAAACTAAATGGTTAGAAGCATAATTTCAGCCCACATTTTCATCATGTGTTGGGTGTTTTACCACCGACAATTGGTCAATCAATTCTGACTTTAATAGTAAACTCCGAGTTCGAAAGATTTAAACTGTTTCCCGCCTATTGAGTATCATTTGCTTCATTCGTTTGCACGTATTTTAGGTATTTCCTTGGTCCCCAGCACACGACTGGCTATTTGTTGGAGATCAGGTCCTCAGCATCGAAGGTCATTGGGATATTGAAATAACCAGTGCAGAGGCCGAAGCATTAGCAGCCCTCAAAAGCCGTTACCTGCGCCTGGTAATTAAACGGTGAGTTTAACCTTTTTATATTAGACCAAATCATATCTTTTTAGGGGAGCATTTCAGGCATCCATATTATTCCTGGCAGTGTAATATCTAAACCATCATACTTCTACCCTAGCTGATTTGCCACAAACGAATGTTCCAGAGACATGTTTACACGCGCCATTTAGTTTCTAACGGAGGACTTTCAAATCTGACCGATAAATAAGAATCCCATTAGGTGCATCGTTCAATCACTATTCATGCGGCTGATCGATAGAAAACGCCTGGGGAAATATTTGCATGTGGGTTGAAGGAATGTGTACCATTGATTTATCGACATACATAACCATGCACCAACGACAGTGGGTGTGACCGAGTGGCACAGAAAAAATTTCACAAGACGTATACAGTGGTGGCAAAATAGGAACAGGGAAAACAGCTGTTGTAGGCACCAAATGGTGTCACTGACCGCCAAGAAAAATAGTAGAATCGTCGAAGAATAGCTACTGACCAACGACATTTTGACGATTTCTTTAAACCAGGCTAGTGAGGAAACTTTCATGTGCTTCTGCTCGATCGACACAAAATTATGTGCATACCCTGGAATACTGTATCAATTGAATCCACCGCTCTGTTACATCTGCTTATTAACTTCGGGCCGATGGCGTGCTTTGCTTCAACATATTGTCATACATACAACATACGTTAAAACTAAGCCAAAACACTCGTAAAAGAGTATGAAATTGAGCCGAAATGACAACACTGTGGTTTAACAGAATGCGCAGCATGTGTGATCCATTTAAATCCGTCAATGTCATTGCTTCCTGATGGTTCCGCAAAGCATTCTTTAAAACTATTGTTGAACAAATTTGGCTCTGCGGCCAAGGCGCTGAACGACTGTTGTTTTTTGTCTTGCCGGCCAATCAAAAACAGACCACTTCGGAACACTTTAGGGCAACAAAAATCAGATTTCGAGTTGCGTATCCGTGGTATTATTGTCTAGAGCATCAACGAGACTGACAACCTTAAAATACCCGCTGTTTAGTATCTTGGGAGATCTTTACAGAGAATCATATTCAGCTAATTATGCGGAAAGGAACTGCCGTTTCAACAAGACAAGAATAATGTTGAAAGTTAGTAAAAAAACATCCATTCACTTGTTTTGCGTTTGTTACAGGCATAACATTGAAATGTGTTTAAAAAACTAGCAGGTTCATGGTTAGCCGATATCTTCTTTAGAATATCTGGCCGAAAATCAATGGTTTCGTTTGGAGTTTATTCTCAGTTACCGAGGGCTTCCGGTAATCTCAAATATCACGAAGTAACGTGTTTTCCACATAAAGGAATTATCGCCATACATAGCATTTTTGCTGCAACCGTTGCCGAATCATTCTAAATATTGATAGGACAATACGTGCAATATGTTATTGCATTTAGAGTCTTATTTCGAAGGAAATTTCCTTTGAATGAGCATCAATTTTCTGTCTTCAAAAGTTTTTTTATCGAACGATTGCTGTCAATTCAGGTGAGACAACCTTTCAAAAGAAGCGTTTATTGGTCCATAGCTTCAAGCAATCTTTCCTTAAATCGATGACAGTGTACCATTTACTTCAATGTGATGCAGCTTGGATGACTCGTTTGCAACGTCATCCTAGGAACTTATTTAACAAAGTCGAATTTTCATTAACGTTTTGAGCGTGCATGCATACAATTGTGCAGCCGTGACGGGAAGAGGCCTGTTAAACTGGTAATATTGTTATACATTATACGGATTCAAAAACCACCTCTAACGATTATTAGAATGTAGCCGATTTGGTACATCTTGAAATAAGAGGTTCAGGGAGATGTAACAGTCGAACTGATCTGGCGAGCTCTCGCCTATCCGAAAGGTGCTTTATAGACTTGGTTACTAAGAAATGCCTGTGACTGAAATGCACAGCTGATTCATCAAGCTTCTACATAAACGATGTTCGTCAGCAATCTTGGTGAGTTTTTCCTACAACCGAACGTTGCTATCGTTCCAGAGATTTAGTGAGAATTCTGAATCCCAGAGAGGATTAGTGGGAAACCTCAGTGAGAATACCAGATATCTGTCAAGTTACTGTAAAGTTCCAACACACACGCGAGGGAACTGTGAAAGTTTTCACTGAAAACAGACTATGTTCTGTTGTCTGTTCTGTACCCGGGGTGTATGGGATTTTGCCACAACGGATAGTGAGCCAAACAAGAAAGAGTTATAAGCAGCCCTGTTAGTACGACAGAAATTTCTAATGAATTTGGGACAAACAACGTTTCAAGAAGTGATTATCGCACTTGCTCTAAAACAAACCTGATGCTGGATCCAGTTGTGGTGTACATGGTATTGCGAAACTGCGTTTGAATGGCCGATTCTTAGCCATAATTGACGCCTATTTAGTTGTTATGTCACGTGGCCGTTTTTCGTTTTAAAGGCTGAAAAATGTTCTTGTAAGTTCATCATCTCCGTGTAGCACCGTCAATGTCGAAATAATCCGATTTTTATTGCTACTAATGTACAGTATTAAAGGTCACCTAATAAACCCTACTTTTTATGATATTCTGCTGTCTCCGTTATCCAAAGCTCAACCATCACTTGAACCCTGTTACAATGATTTATTATAATTCCCACTGTTCCACTTTCTTACACAGCAAACATTTTTGTGTGCAAAATATTTTTCTGGTTATTGCAAAAGAATTCCAGATAAAAATTTTCTTCTAGTTTGGTAAATTTAGGCAGCTAGTATTATCTTGTAAAAAAGGCCACTCAGAAATTAGTCTTTTAATTGCAATAAGATGAGATATCTTGGATCGACGCTGTTGTTAAGGATACTTTAATATTGTCCGGCCCAAACTTAGAAGTCACACGGACAAACGCATTTTGGGCACCGGAAGAAAGTGCAGCTATATTAACAGAGTTATGACAACGACAGAGCAAGATGGTTTTTAGAAATATTGACAATAAACTTAATATGATTTTTTCTATGATCGTTTGATGCCCCACATCTTGGGTTGCACTTATACTTGAATTCATGTCTTGACTAAATCTTACTTGAAAAACGCTCATCGGTAGGTTGAATGGCACGTTAGTAATTTATTGTCATATGAAAATGCCAACTTAAGTTTCTGTAACATGGAAGACAATCGTATGGGTGCCAAGCTGTTGCACTGTTTATATAAATTTGTGGATTCTCATAGCCAGATTTTAAATTCTCATTTGTGATATAGAGTGGAAATTATTTGAGTTATCGTCATCGACTTTATATCCTAAACATCTAATCCAGGTGGAAGGATGTGCTAAGTTAGTCACATCTTTTAAACATTGACGCTCCGACATCCGGAAGCTGACTAACCACCGGTCAAATCTGCTTCATCTCATTGAATGTCGAAAAAAGCAATATCGTGTCTACCGTTGATAAAGTAACTGATGTGTTCCGCATAATTTCTACGCATTTTGCGTGTCACTTAACATTACCCAATAAAGTCGACTTTCACCTCATCTTGTCTAAAACCTGTCCACTTATTAAGAGCCATCATGAATTTGAAATTTCTACCTCTGTTGATGAATGTTTTCTCGAGGTGCAGTTAAAAACGTTCTAGCAAGTTGAACAATTATCCAGCTTCAGCAGTGAATGATTGAGTAAGGCATCAGGTGTAACAGTTGAACAGGTTGTGATTACTGGTTTTATGAAAATCTGAAATATACAAAATTTTTGAGGCCTGAAATCACCTTACACAATCAGCGTGTGATATCATTCGAAAAGTGGCTCGTTATCAAACAAAATTGAAAAACAGCACCATGAGAGACACCACTCATTCATATCGTCGAGCAGCTTGAATGATGAATACACCACGAGGTAGAATAGCTTGGTAGAACGTCTTAGCGCATGAGAAGCTATCTGCTAACATTGACATCATGCCAAGTTTCAATCCTTTGAAGTCTAGTGTCTATTCGTTGTGCATAATCATGTGGAACTATTTTTTAATAAACAGCCAGGGAATACGGTTCCAGGCTATTCTTAACGCTACTTGTTTTTGTCCATTGAATATAACTACTGGACGAATTAAAAAAACCTTACCGTGCTACAAGTTAATTGCGACTAAAGAAATCGTTATTTTGTCTTGGTTGCAAATTGGTGCTTGTCTGTGAATGACCTACCTAAGCCTTTCTGGATACCACTGTGTCTGTGAATGCTATCTTGAGGGAAGTGACAGTACCAATCCACGATGGAGATTATATGGGAACACAACAAGAGTAAATAGACAGTTCAACTGCAACAAACGCTTAGTCTATCTAGATCCGTAGGCAAGCATTGCATCAGAAAATATGTGAAAACCAAAGTAGTGGTACACCTTCGGTTAGGTTGGTGCACTATTCGCTTTCGGATCAAAAAGCTATGAGCATTTGAAAAAAAAGTAAAAACTGTTCACTATTTCTACTTACATAACATAAAAACGCTTGAAAAATATGGGACGTAAACGAACTGCAAACTTTTTCAGCAACATTTTCTCTACTTCCTCGCGCAACAAAAACCTCATTATTTTGATTAGCAGTCATTCATTTTACTTTACTGTTTGTCACTGTCTATTAACAGCATTGATTTACTTGTTTTCACCGGATTTTGATGAAGAAACTTGACTAGATTATTTGAATGCAGTTTTAAAAATGTATTCAACGGATTTTTTATTCTATGGCCTGTGAGGCTATCAGCCATGCTGCAGGCCAGAAGTTGGAAAACACTTGAGCAAAACTTGATAGTCCTTTTACACTCTTGAACGTGCTATTGTTGATTTCTAATCACCATTTTAAATAGGTGTCCTACAAGTGGAAGCAAAACTAGGATAAGAAAACAACTTAATTGGGTGACGGACTATCTAACTTAGACAGTAAATATAAACATTTGATTCCAATTTGACTCTGTATTTTTTTCTTACTGTTGAATCCGATGAAACTTCCATCTGTTTAAGCGACTTCGTTAGGATTTTCATAGAATCCTGGCCGATTTTTCACCCGAATTAGCGTGACCTTTAAACCTTCTATATTTGGAACCACGAAAAATTGTTTTTACCCTAGTTTCCCGCTCCGGTCTTCAGAAAACAATAAAAAACTAACCGCTTTGTAAACAAATGTCAAGCTCCCAACAGATGAAATCAAGTGAAGCTCCATTTTTTGTGTCAACATGTGTAATATCTGGAGATTTCTCTACCAATAAAATGCGGTCAGTCCGTCTGTTAGCCCATTTTCTACACAAACAACAGCCGGTGAATTCCGGAACTTACATAGGAATTATAAAGACATAGTGATGAGAGCATGGATTGTTTAATGATGCAGTGTCAGTTAGTGAATTAACCGGTCACGCAGTTATACCACATACGATAAACTGTTCCGGAGAAATTCTGTGCTGAACTTGCACTTTGAGTTCCGTGTGAGATAATGGGCTCGGTCGAGGATTTTCGAAGGCACAATGTTGTCTTTTACGTTTATGAATTCCTTCTTGTGTACTGAATGCTTGCGCAGTCGTATGGTGACTGTCTGATAACTTACAACGGTAAAAATCCATAAATTGATGTGGCTTATCATTTTGTGTGGTCTTAGGTCATTAAAAATAACCAAACCTCTACTTTGCTCTATTTCTGATTCAAGCTTCAAAATTGGGCAACACAATTAATACGACCTTATTATTACACTATTGGAATAATAACGAATTTTTGGCTCTTTCCAGTTCAGAAAGTTTTGCCGTTATTCATTCAACCTGTGAAAATGTTCTTGTTTTGGTAAACACATTTTGAGGTATCTGCTACTACTTCAGATTGCTGGATTACATGAGAGAATCCTACCCTGTGGTTTTAGACTTGTAAACATGAGCCTTAAGGCTAACATTTTAGTGAATGCATTTTTGTTGAAGCAACTGATCCGCTTATTCCCTTCAGACTAAAAACGAGGTTATGTGAGAAAGGAGCGGGTACAATAAAAGTTGCTGATTTCGAAATAAGTATACAGAGTCCTATGGAGGTTGTTTATTGCCATGCGCTTTTTCATGTGACTTGGGTGTATATGCCTCTAACGTTTGTGGGAAAAACACCGAACGAACTTTTTGCTAAAGGCTTTGCACACTCCGCCTTCCCACTAACTAAAAAAACGTATTTAATCTGCTACAAACCATATATATTTCAAGCGGCCCATAGTGGGCATGGCTATTGAATCATACATGAAAGTCTTGCGATCTAGCCGTATAGGACATTAAAATCCCGGGTCCAGATAGGTGAACGTTTCTTTTATACACATTGTTCATGTAAATGGAAAGCTATCTTTAGAGGCAGGAACGATAACGTTCTAGAAAATCAAAGTTGAAGGTTCCGGACAGATGCCTAATCGCCAACCAGACTGTAAAGAATTCAGTCGTGCCGTAACGATAGTTTGTTTGGTGTAGACCGCACCTCCTAACAATAAACCATAGGACGACTATCCGTCTCTCAAGCGCAACCTACCTTGCCTTGCGTTCTACTGGACAGCTATTGCTTCATCAAAGGTTCATCATTGTACGTGATATTTAGGGGCACCCTAAAAACACTGAATGCGAGACTTATCCATGCAGTTTGACGAGGGACTGATCATCGTGCCTGGAAGCATCGCCTTCAAAACTTGTCTTTGTGTGTCAAGCAGAATATTTTTGCTTTGTTATGTGAAGTATGTAGAATAGCTCAGCAAAGTGAATTAGGAGCAGAGGTTCAATGGTGCCTGATTTAACCTAAAAGGAGCATAGGTAATATAAAATTTAGCATACCTTTTAAAAAATAGTTGGACGTAATATAACAGAGCTTAGGAATCGAAGACTAATTTCGCGTTGGAAATCCGTAACTTCAAAGTCTCAAGCCACTATCAATGAGCCTTAGTTGTTTTATTTTAATGGTGTTACTGTTTCAGAATTATTTTATTGTAATAGAATACTGCCATTTTATTGCGCTGCCTTTAAAGAAAAAGCCGGTTTACAGAGTTTTAAGAGTGCTAAAGTTTAAAGTGCTAACTAAAACCGCGTCACCGGGAGTCACTTCTCACTCAGCTACTTTTGAAGGTACTGGCTGTTCGACATCGTGGTAGTGACCATGTGAAAGGACTTATACTAATAATGCATTCCGCATTAGAGATTTGTTATGTAATTTCTAACCGCCAAACAAATCGACTGAAATCTGGCATTTGAATTGGGTGTGATGATATTTTCATCATGGAGTATGCTTAGTACTTCAAAGGGACTTATGAGTTTGCCTGGCTTGTCGCTGACATTGAGATTTGAAAGGCATTTCTATGGTTTTTCCCCGAAAACAAAATTCACAAAACAGAATACACGAGTATTCTCACAAGGATGAGTAATCAGATATTGAAAAGATATGTTTGGTACAGTTTGGTTTTGTGTGATGATTTTCTGTTTATTTTCTTTTCAGTATACCAATGTTCAGCAATCAGTATATGGGTACAAGATTTGCCTCACGCAGCCTACCGCGTCCAGCAAGCTCGACGACGTCCTGGCAACAAGGACCGTACTCACGGCTCGACTCGGTGAGTGAAGTGTGGTCAACCGGCCAGGGGAAAACTTACCCAGCAATGCTTTCAGTCTCCCCGCGATACGACAGGACTTATTAGTGCAGTTCAGACTGATCGCCACAGGACTCACGTTGATTACGTTGGGCTGTTTCAGCGTTAAGTTGCTCGAGGTGGCCTAATGTGAAGATCACTACATCACCACTACATCATCATGTTGCAGATAACAAACAACTATTTGTAGTTGTGTTTTACAGTGCAAAACGGAACCAAAAATGAAAACCTGCCGGACGTTTGACTGGCGAAACAACACACGAATGCAAAGTGGAGACGTCGATTTCGCTGCATTCAGTAGCTTTTTCACTTGACCGTAGCACTAATCATCATGTTACTATCAACAGCTTACTGAATTTCTTAAACAGCGGCATGCATGATGAATCTTTGGTAAGAAAGTTAACCTCGCAACATAGAACATGCTTAGTAACCACGCGGCTCGAGGGTGATGGACGGAATCCGCAGAACTGACAACGTTCCCAATAAAAATGAGGCTTTTCAGATAACTTCTGATATTTCACCTGCTAACAGAGTAACAGAACACTTAGGCATGTCAGGAAAGCGCCTTTTGGGTTATCTACATTACTTTTAGTAAGCAGCGCACAAGTCGATGTAATAGCTTTGTTATGCAAGTATGCAGCACAAATCCACTTGTCAGTGAGTGGTATTTTTAAAGTGCCTGTATAAAAGCGCATCTCCCCGGAGCCAGCCAAAATCTCCTGTTTCATGGATGTGCTTTCAGTCAAGAAAATGATACCTGCTTTGATTCGTAATATTGCGACATTTTTATCTCTTTATAATGAATTAAACACAAAAGTTTGTGATGAAATGAGCGTTCACAACTTATCAGAAATAATCCGGAGTGTCATCAACCACTTCGTTGAATGAATTTGACTACAATCCCACATGACCGTCGTTAAATAGGACAAACATTCATGCAGAAAAGAAAAAAATAATCGGAAGGCATTTATAGGACGCTTCGGTTCATTTAGGTGTGATTTTTTTACAACGGGCTGGAATTCGCTCACCATCTCTCGTTTTTAATTTCTTTTGAAAGCGCTGCGTCGTTGCTTTTGATATATACCCTTCCTTTAAGCTCGTACTTACAACCAGTCATAAACTTCAGAAAGGCTGATTGTGATGATGCGGTTTTGTGTTGCCAACTAAGACGGTAAAAGAACGAACGGCCCAGCGATATTCGCATTGGGTTTTCAAACGTTAAGTTATGCATGAACTGCGTTGTCCCATTAAGTAAGACATCTGCATTGGAGTTTGTCGAGCGTCTTCGTAATATCCACCCAAATCTCTCGGCAAACTATAAAGTGAAAATGGATAAAAGCTTAACATTTTTTGAAGTAGTCATTATTGCTAGGCTTGAAGGGTCGGTTGAAAAATATATTTACAAGGAACCTACGTGATCGCATCCATACACACATTTTGGCCGTATTCCAACCTGACCAGACTGCAACTTAGATGGGTTAGAAGTTATTTCGAACACTTGGGTGAGAACCAGGCACGTTGACGTAAGGCGTAACTATCTAACAGTGGCAGAGTATTCATAAATAGGGTGCATATAGAACCTACTTGATGAAGCCGCTGAAACAACCAAACGCTTTGTCTCAGCGCTCAGCAGGACGTACAAAACTTCAAATTCTATGTTTTCATTGGAACTCGATGCCTACTGACACCTTCAAACAGCAGGAATGAACTAAGCAAAATACATTCAGTTGCAAAAAAGCCGTTTTTGAAAAAATCACCTGAAACTCAGCTGAATCTCCCAAGCAGAACAGGAAGTCGACGGAAACTCGGGGACTGTGCCCCCGGGGATGAGCCCCAAGAAGGGCAAAACCGGTCGATGGTTGTCGAGGAATTTTCAGCAACCTTATGAATAGTATATTACGTCCAAACAGAGGTGAACCTATCGTAACCCAGTCCCACCATGCATTCCAGTTTGTACACAACTAGGGGACAAATTACCATGACAATCGTTATGTGCCTCAGTACCGTCAAAGCTCAAGTTCCAAAGTAAGTTTGCACTACAAAAGCCGGCACCGTTGGGGTCATCTACTGTCAAGCTTCTTTAGACTGCACTTCAAGGGGTAGATTTGACCTTACAGTTCACCATTTTATTTATTCTCTGAAGTCATACCAATCAACGGATTGAGAGAGAAGAGGAACTGTGATTACGGATCCCTTCTAAAGTTGTCTTGCTGATTAACCTTTCTCAACTTCTTTCCTTTGAAGTGGATTATTTGCTCGATGTATTGGAGATTTTCCCTGTGCATCCAGAGCAACGTCGGTGGCAGGCTACACCAAGCACGAGCGTCTTTTTAGCCTATTTTACCATTTACCTACCAGCGTATAGGCAAATGATCAACTTCTTTTTTCCTAAGCACAATATCATAATATTTCCCAGCTAGAAACAACTTCTGGTTAGCCAATGTTAGAATGTTTACATCCAGAATTTTTGGCATCACTCTGTCTCCAAAAACACCGTTTATGCCTCTCAGATGTACACAATAGACCCGACGGTAAGGCGCAATATTTGAAAAATTAACCGCCCCTTTTTACCTGCACGAATTTACTCCTAAAGGATGAAACCGATTTTCATATGATGTTCTCAGTTGGTGTTTTTGGTATGGGATCAGCAAATCCACAGTGGTTTTTATAGTGCTTTGAAGTTGATATGGCCGTGCTGGTTGTACATCCTAAGATTAGTCAACTCGAGAACGCTAATTCCGAACCCGCTTTTTGACTATCATTCACGCAGGACATAGCGTAAGATTTGCAGTGACTTCGATATTAGAACAGATGGTTATACTTCAGTCTGAATAAATTTACCGAACCCTATTTCCATGCAATGTTCCTCTCTATCCTTCTGTAGTACAATGAGATCCCAAAACCAGTCAACGCTCGCCCGATGCCTGACGAAAATGAGGGACACCTTCAAACAACAGGAATGAACTAGGCAAAATACATTCAGTTGCAAAAAAGCCGTTTTTGAAAAAATCACCTGAAACTCAGCTGAATCTCCCAAGCAGAACAGGAAGTCGACGGAAACTCGGGGACTGTGCCCCCGGGGATGAGCCCCAAGAAGGGCAAAACCGGTCGATGGTTGTCGAGGAATTTTCAGCAACCTTATGAATAGTATATTACGTCCAAACAGAGGTGAACCTATCGTAACCCAGTCCCACCATGCATTCCAGTTTGTACACAACTAGGGGACAAATTACCATGACAATCGTTATGTGCCTCAGTACCGTCAAAGCTCAAGTTCCAAAGTAAGTTTGCACTACAAAAGCCGGCACCGTTGGGGTCATCTACTGTCAAGCTTCTTTAGACTGCACTTCAAGGGGTAGATTTGACCTTACAGTTCACCATTTTATTTATTCTCTGAAGTCATACCAATCAACGGATTGAGAGAGAAGAGGAACTGTGATTACGGATCCCTTCTAAAGTTGTCTTGCTGATTAACCTTTCTCAACTTCTTTCCTTTGAAGTGGATTATTTGCTCGATGTATTGGAGATTTTCCCTGTGCATCCAGAGCAACGTCGGTGGCAGGCTACACCAAGCACGAGCGTCTTTTTAGCCTATTTTACCATTTACCTACCAGCGTATAGGCAAATGATCAACTTCTTTTTTCCTAAGCACAATATCATAATATTTCCCAGCTAGAAACAACTTCTGGTTAGCCAATGTTAGAATGTTTACATCCAGAATTTTTGGCATCACTCTGTCTCCAAAAACACCGTTTATGCCTCTCAGATGTACACAATAGACCCGACGGTAAGGCGCAATATTTGAAAAATTAACCGCCCCTTTTTACCTGCACGAATTTACTCCTAAAGGATGAAACCGATTTTCATATGATGTTCTCAGTTGGTGTTTTTGGTATGGGATCAGCAAATCCACAGTGGTTTTTATAGTGCTTTGAAGTTGATATGGCCGTGCTGGTTGTACATCCTAAGATTAGTCAACTCGAGAACGCTAATTCCGAACCCGCTTTTTGACTATCATTCACGCAGGACATAGCGTAAGATTTGCAGTGACTTCGATATTAGAACAGATGGTTATACTTCAGTCTGAATAAATTTACCGAACCCTATTTCCATGCAATGTTCCTCTCTATCCTTCTGTAGTACAATGAGATCCCAAAACCAGTCAACGCTCGCCCGATGCCTGACGAAAATGAGGAGGTTGATTACAGTTTCATGAATTTGCCCGTTAGAGAACGACGGAAACTCTTTCTTGGAGGGGGAAGGCCTTCTCGTTTTAATTCGGTTGGACAACAGTCCATGACGAGTAAGTATGCATGATATTCCGCAACCCATTCTGTAATGAGGGAAGATAGCGAAATTTGCGGGTTCTAATGAACTAGCTCACAGGAGGCAATCAAAAAGTAAACTTATCTTCAAGTTGCTGCTGACAGAATGACAGCAGTTATTTTGCACTACATACTTGTTGACCCGTTCTGAAAATTCGTAACAGTATGCAGCTTCTTACACTTGGATATTTTTTTAAACAAACAAGTTCTTGCGGAACTTTTTAACGTATTAGTTGTAAAATGGAGTGTTGTTAATTCACGTCGTGAAATATCGTTGGTCACCAATTTTCCTCTCCTCGAAGAGGGCCTCTTAACTTTTAGCTCAGTGGTCTCAGAACTTTTCATCTAGCCGCCACCTTAGCTCTTGCGATGCAAGATGTTTTCAATCCTCTCATTTTGTATGCTTCAGGTGAACAGTGTCACTAGAACCAGTAACACAAAACAGTGTTTCATGTAATGTTCTAATAAAGTGCATAGTAAGTTCGTGAGACAGAGTCATGCACATTGGATTCAATTTTTATTGCAGAAATCCTTGGGAAAGGTTGCCCACGGCAACCAAAACGTCGGATTACAACAACTTATTCCACTACACTATGCTTTAACTTTAAAAAATCCCATTGGATTCAATTTTTTCGAAAAAAATCAGTGCAACGAATAAACCCACTCACGAAAATAAAACGCATTTTCGCCGCATCTCGACGCCTTCCCTGTCCTAATTCGGACTTTGTCTTCATCACAGCCTCCCATACACCTCTAAGAGAGCGATTACTACCCGTTTGAAGTGGTTGACAGCCCTGGTTTTGCAAGTTAACTGCGAGATACCATAGCTCTAAATCTGGTCCTACTCACAAGGTTGGTAAAATGTTATGTTAAACTCGCTGTCTGGCTCCGACCATTTTGGAGCTCGTTGAGCGGGCCGTGAACAAAAATTTCAACATTTTATTCTTTTCTAGTGCTTCACACTCAGTTGTAGAGAGAGTCCTCATCACATAAGCACAGTTTGGTTTTCAACTGCGAAATATGTTGGGTGAAAATCTGGATTATGTCCACTTAAGTAATACCAGAGGGGTTGAAACCCTTATTAGGTGTTTCAGGTGTTTTCATTCATCTTACGAGTAGGACCGTGCGGAGGAAAATACTTCGATGTCTTCAACACGGTCCAGATGGATTATGAAGTGGCATTTATGCAGTGCACCCATGTGAGTCTCCCATGAGAACCAGATAAATTTGTAAGCGAGTTTCGTTGCCATGTTATTCGTCATACTTTAAAGCCGTTCAGTTACTGAAGATTCCTTAAGTTAGAATATTCTCCCAACGAGATGGAAGAAAATGCGTCATGGTGTGTTGCATCAATCAACATTGTTTATTACCTTGGGTTTCTTAATTAACCATGCTTGTAGATTTCGTAAGGAGATTCACAAGTTATTGACCGTAATATTAAAATAATTTTTCGTATTGTTGGAAATTTTGAAGTTCGGTTCCAAACAGGTATATATCGGTTGGACGAAATGAGTGAGAAGAACGATAAAATGTTTGCGTTATTCAGTTAGTTAGTCGGAGGTGCGCCACACAACTCGCCTCTTTAAATAGAGTAGAGTGCAACAGATCATCACCTATTCCGGATCATCTGATGTGCATAAATGAAGGCTCCCGAAGATTCTTTTAGTGTTTTGGCAAACGGAATTGTCTTAAGAAGGCCACTCCGGTAAGCAAAAACCCTCATCCATAGAGTGACCAATTGCTTCTAACGGAGCCTTCTAACACCTTAAAAATCCTCACTGAGGTCTCCTCCTTCGTCTCTTAGTCGACGCCCTGAAGCACAACCGAAACTCTCCTATATAATCTCGTAAAACCTATTATGGTTCAAGTGTGTGAAAAAAACTGGTTCGACCTGCACAATCCTAATGGACTTTCCAGATATCTATAGCCATATACAGCCGCCTTTCTAGTCGGTCCCAAATATGAGGCTGGAGGCAGACTTTCCCATTCCGAAATGACCTCTACGTGACAGATAAGAAGGATTCGGCAGAATTCAGCGGTGAGCTTGTTGGATGATCTTTGGGTCATTCAAAATTGTCTAGGTCAGAGCTGCTTCTCCATTTTTGGTGGTTTATTTATTCAGCATTTCAAGGATGCACTCACTTTTTCCTGTATAAGGGCCTAGTTTAGATTACGGTCTTCTACATGCTGACGATTCGCGCCTCAGCATTTCCAGCCTGTCTGCGACAGAAGGTAACCTCCAGAGTAATAACATTGTGGCTCAGGACCTTTAGAAGATGATCTGCCGTCTGTTCAGCATTGATTAATAACAAAACCTTTGGTATGCTACGTATATCAGATACCGTTTAGTCATGTGTTGCGAAACGCCATTCATATACTTACTGAGCTTTTCTGGTCTCGGCACTTTCGCCTAAGGTATTCAGCTACTCAGAAAAGCCTCATCCTCATTGCTTCGTAGGTGCAAAGGTCACTTTATTCAAGCAGACCGAAAGCTGTGTTCCGAATGTTTAAACAATAGACATTAATGCAGTATACGACCAAATGTCTCGCTTCAACTGACAAACATTGTCTACCGGGTCGCGGACAATAAATATCTCTGACAGTTTCACATTTACAAAACGTAGATTAGATACAATTGAAGGCCATTTATAAAAACTTGTTCTGGTGTCTAACTTCTGGACGTGGCTCGCTGTTGCATCCTCAGTTAAATTGTCTATAACCTTACAGACCACCAATATGAGACCAATCGGTCAATAGTTCGAGGGATTACATTTAATCCTTCCCTAAATAATTAGCTCAACAATGGCTGTTTCCCACAACCCTGCCCCAAGGGTGTCCTGAAAGGCCGTGTTGGAATAGTAGGAGTAATTGATGCGAAATATTTCAGGATATGAGAATGTAGTATATACCGCAGCCGACTGAAGTTAGCTGAGTGAACAATCTGAATTTCCCCCAAATTCACTTGGAATCTTTCTCACTCGCCTAGTGTCATCCCAGTGTAAGCTGACCTCTTTGTAGCCATCTAGGAAGTCAGTCCTTGGTGAACTTCTTTGATAAGTGTTGAGTAAGGTATCCTCCGGGTGACTCTGCTTGGTCCAAAAGGCATATCTACACAGCAAACTTACACAAGTGTAAGGAGACTAAATGGACACTATCTCCAAGAAACCGAAGCGTTAAGATATAGAGAGTTCGTGTCGGCTGGGTCCCGTTGGCTCAAGAGTCAGTTAGGGAATCCGGAAAACAATATTCAACCAGTTCTTGACGTGCACATCGAGTTTCAGTAATATCGGAAACTTTAATTTCACAAAAAGAGTACGTGGTCGGTAAGGTACGTCATGGTAACCATACACTCAAATGTCTGTTTTCTGAAGGAATCCGGCGATCTCTGCAGTGGTCATTTCATGGTCCATGGAAAACTCCATTTGCTATAGATTTTATAAGCCCAAGTTCCAGGAATTAGCGATAATAAGACGGGAAACCTATATTCATTCTGTGTGGTGCAGATTAGTCCATAATCTGATACAAAAACGAGGTGCTATCGATTCTGCGAATGAGCCAGCCTTCAGTCAATTCAAAGACGTCTGGATTGGACTGGTCAGCTGGCGTTTTTATTTTCCAATACCTTGAACTTCCACGAGTTATCACTTACCTATCTTTTGTACATAATGTTTCGGATTCGGCTGTACTGGATTCCAACATTCCTGAGGAACTATTGGGTAACCTACTAATCTGGGGCGTTTCACGACAGGTTTTCCCACAGGTGCCTATGAAAGTTTCAATATATATTTCTAAATGAAAGGCCTTGAACAACAGAGAGTTCTCTCCCTAGTTCTTGCAGAACGAAGCCAGTAGGAAAAGCAAGCGACGCGCAATCATTTGTTCATTCTTGACTGAATTGCTGTATAAACTGACCGCTTTCTCATCCACGAACATGTGATTATTCAGGTTGCAGAAAGTATTTTTCGTGGGAAAATAATTTCACGCTACCATTCTTCGCACTGACCTATGAACCGATTCCGATAGGGAACGGAGTGATTATTAAGAACCAAACAGCTAGCGGTTATCAGTTTGCATGACGCAGAAGTCTGCCAGGGTCAGGCATAATGATTACTGCGAGCAGATAAACTTTACGCCTCTCTGATCTCAGCTCCACCCGGGATGAACATTGTGAAGTTAGAGTGACTGACATAAGGATGCCATTCTGCGCGTTTACAGTGCTTACTTTCTTCGACTCCATTCAAACTCACCCGTACTGGTTTGCATCTTGCTAGTTCTTTGTTTATTTTGATGATAAAAGAGCAAGAAAAGCTTTGGCTTGTGATAGTTTTACCATTCACATAGACATGTTTGCCAACCAGACGCTCAACTGCTAACTGTGCATATTTTGATTTGCTGACCGCTGTAAATGGGTCCGCCTTTTGTCTTTTCTGGAGGTTGTGCGTAAGTACACCCTGAAGTTGTATGGTGGACAACACGAAGTTGAAGGGATTTCATTGAGGTTGACCGGCGAACAGATTAGAGTGAGATGCATTGAGTAACATCACATATCGATAGGCACATTGGATGCTTTTCATTTTAGCTCCAATCTGTCAACTTCAAATCTCCCGTCTGAAACAGCCAAACAAACTACTGAATTTAAAAATCATGAAGATGTTACCAAAGCTGAAGAATCTGGGATTAGCATGAAATTCACATTTCCGATATGAAGCAACACTAAAACAATGCTCAGTACGTGCCGAATTTTGTGCCAACTCCAATTGTTTCTCACAAACAAAAAAACTAATAGAATTCCACGACATCTTGTCCTTTCTTCCTAAAGACTAGACTGACTGTCTTTAGGAATCTGACTGAAATTGACAAAGGCTATACAAGCGCGTTCAGAGAGATAACATAGGACTGCTTTAACCCGGAACCATGTTTCTGTCAATTATTCGTCACTTGTGAACCGCAGTTTATTCTCCAACGCTGTTGTTCCTGGTATATCCGCTCTTGTATTGATACATCGTAGGATTTTTAAGGCTGTCCAAATGAATTTTCCCGTATAATCGCCCAACAAATTTCACTACTATTATGAGAATCCGTGTGAATGAAATGACGAAGTAAGGAGTTTATATATATATATATAT